GACTCCACTTCAAAAGGCTTCACTGGTGAAAATGGCAAAAACCCGTCTTGGTGGAAAAGTTCTAGCTATTGGAGATGGCGCTAACGATGTCTCGATGATTCAAGTAGGTCTATATCTACTTTTCTTACCCATTTCATTTAATCGTTTTCCCTTGTCTGCCCTTCCTTTCGACAGATTGTTTAAGAAAAAGGCATTTCCACGACAGGTTTCTGTATGAGTATTTCTTCTTCTTCTCTCTTTAAGATGCTGCATTTCTTGAGTCATTGACTACCGTTGTTTAATGCTTATTTTACTGCTCATTACTGCGATTGCGACAAGCAGAAGAAACTTGTGTCGCGGATTCCCGGCCTGGGTCACTTCCTCATAGGTTCCGCTCTGCGATAGTCTACGTACTGTGCCTGTCCTGGCCCGCAGTACAATCCTCGGGGCTCCATACGGCCGACAGCATCCTAGCAAAGGTTACCAACCGGGCTGCTCCGTTAGACGAGTAGCAGGGGACGCTGGCCGGCTTATGACACACCTTCCATCACCCCAAGCTTCGGAGGGAGACGTCCACTTCTCTCCCTGAGGCAACCTCCTTGCGTTGCCCTGTGAAGACAGACCAGCCGCCGGCTGCCACTCACAAACGCACAGGAGTGACTACTGGCTTCGACCGTAGGGGGCGTGCCTACAGCGTGTCAACTGCTCAGCGAGTTATGATGGTACTGATGGCCAGCCAAATGGAAGGTTGGAAACTGCTTCAAAGTGAGCACAAGAGGGAGCAAGTGGTTTAGCGGAATGGATCCTGAAGAGGATTCCTTCGACCTGCCATTACACATAGTGAATCGGATCTCACTAGTTAGAGAGCTTTGTATGCCATGCACTTGTTCCTAGATCTCTTTTCTTGATTCTTTTCTCTTCAAGAACATATGTTACCTTGGTATATCCAGTTGCTTTTTCCAGTGTGCTGATGTTGGTGTCGGTTTGTCCGGTCAGGAAGGTATGCAAGCGGTGATGGCCAGCGATTTCGCCATGGCTCGATTCCGATTCCTCGCTAATCTTCTGCTTGTCCACGGCCACTGGTGTTATCAGCGACTTGCGCAGACGATTCTGTACTTCTTCTACAAGAATGCTGTAGGTTTCTTCGTTGTTTGGTTTTAATAACAAACGGTCATAAAAAACGGGCTACCCAAACTTGCAACTCATAGATACCCTCATTTTAAGATGTTCGTGTTCACCATCTTCTGGTATCAAATCTTCAACGGCTTCAGTTCACAAGTCCCTATTGATCCCATTTATCTTATGGTATACAACTTGATCTTTACATCAGGTATACCTTTTGAAATCCATAGCTCTTGCTCAATCTCGCAGCGTCTTAGTTTTATACTTTTAGTTCCTGCACTGCTTTATGGCTGTTTGGAGCAGGATGCTTCTGCGGATATTCTTTTGGATGTGCCGAAGTTCTACGACCAAGGCCGACTAGGCAAGGTAAGCAACAGATTTTGCTTTTAACTTTTTTCCATGGAACTTGAAACATTTTAAATTGACTCACTAGATATGAGTGCAAAAAGTGCATCAAGTATAGCGTTTCTTGAAAAATGGACAAAATGCGTGAAAAGCAGCTATTATTCTCTTATTCTATATGAGTTCTATATGAAAATCATATGATATAGTCTAAAGAGCGACTTGACCTGTCGACCTACGGACCTTGGAGGCAGCGACTACGATAAATTCTAGAAGGGTTTAGAGGAAGTGTGGTGCCCAATGGTACACCAGTGGCGAAAAAGCAAGAGAAATCCGTCAAGAAAACAAATAACGAACCCCCTTTTTGTGGTCGTCGGTTTTCACTTATGAACAGGTCACAACTCAGAACGTGGGCGTATGGACGAGTTAATCGCAATGCGTTTACTGGCGCCATGCCAAATTACACTCCAATCGAGTTTCACTAGTTGTGTCGCTGCTGGCAACGCAACTCGTCCAAATCATAAGTAAATTAGTGGGCCGATCGCTTTGGGGCGGCGTGCCTTCAAAGTCCTCTCAGTAATCCCCCCACATACCTTCGTGTGAAAGCGCTGCATCTCTCCAATGCAGCGCCAAGTGACTGAGCTGCGTGTGCTTTGCCCGATGCACCCCTTTATCGTAATCGCTTCCTTTGATCGCCTTGGAAATTACCCTAATCAAAATAGGAATGGGGGCGGCGCAGCGGGTGGGCGGGGGGGGGCGCTAAATAAGTCAACAACCGAACTCGTTCCTTATAAGTTTTCGCCTTACTTCTGTATATGAATTTCAAGTTTATCATTGCGTAAGTTCACTGCAACAGCTCTTGAATCCTTTCTCGTTGGTTTTCTGAAAAGAGCAGCTTTTCTATAACACCTAGATTGGCTTAAGCTCAATCCTACTGTAGAATTTGGCTAGACTTGACTGTTTCAGAAGTACCGCTGGTACTCATTCTGGCTGAATATGCTGGACCAGTCTCAAAGCCCGTGTTTACTGCTATCACGTTGTGAAGTATTAATAATGTTGAAAAACAAAAGTACCACCGTAACTCTGCACATTTTGTGGCCTGCACTAATCTCATTGGAAAATGCTAAAACCCCTAGAAAGACACATAAACACCAGTCTGTAATCCCCTACTCCTAAGCGCTTTTCCTCATCAGCGGGGCGCTTTGTAATTTCATTGCGGTTGAACCCAGAACACCACCCATCTTCAATTCTAGAGGAATAAACGCAGGATAGTTTGCAGTACCCTACCGGAGCGTTTACCAGGCTGAATGTACGATTAACGTCAAATCTCTACCTGACGAATCCAGTATTATGAGAAAAAGGAATAATCAAGGGCCCCCCCCGTTGTTGTTTTTTCGCGTCAAGTAACCTACTATTGTGTGGCGATACGCACTGCTTCTGTGTAGATCTAGTGGGATTCAAAAAACGATTGTTTCCATAATGTGCAAAATTATAACTTCGGTCAACCTATTTACAATTACAGTAAATACTCACCGAAAGGTTATTAATCCATTACCGCAAAACAGTAGTGACAAAGGCTGGTGTCCTTGGGTCCGCACCTCCAAAGATTTGATCCCGAACTTGCGCATGGTAAGCAGCGCTGCTTGCCACACCACTTCTCCCTGAATGAATACTTAGGCCATAATAACATCAGAACAGGGTGATTAACGGTCGAGGAAGTCCTTGACAGAAGGTCGTATTCGCTCTGATGAGAGATGGGGAGGTCGGTAATAAAGCCTCCCATCAACGGACACAGCAGTGCTGCTGCGACTCTTGTAGACGTACAAGACCCTCTTGCACGTCTGAGAGTAAAATTTTCATTATGAAACAGGATGTGCAGAGGGTAAAAAGGGGTCGTATCGGAGTCTCTGATGGGGGGGGTCGTAAAGAGCGCCATTTCCTCGACACGCTTTCACCACCTGATCGAAAGGCATGGGAATTCGACTGACTAGTCATAAGCACTAATTTCCTAATGAAAAGGACAGACCTTCAAATTGCACACCTCTCTAAAGGCGGACTTCACCATCAGAATGCAACCCATTAGCGCTAAGGGAGAGCTGTTAGTGTTAACCGGATCAAGAAAAAATCATGAGAAACGGCCCAGAGTCCAAGAAATGGGAGCTTCCCTTGCTCGTTGGTTTTCGCGTAGATGCGACTCTCGCCGGTACTGCACTTTTCAACGCTAAAGCTCCCTCTTCCGAACATCTAGAGACCTGCGGAGAGCGATTAGTCAGTCGGTGGGCGTGTCGCGCAAACAGCGCGCGGGTAGGGCCATGCTAGGTCGCCGGGGCATATTTTCCGCTGCAAATCGCGTTAGGTGGTTCGCCTGTTCTTCTAGTAGTAGGTAGATGTCCTTTTTCTCGACCCTTGACCTTATCGTAGAATCCTTCCTTGCGATTTCCTCATGATATTTCTGTATTTCCAGACGTACATCGACACGGATTGCGATATGTGGACATTCGGTGTGGTAATGTGCGCGCAGCTTCTTTTTGTAAACACCTTCCATCTTTGCCTTCTCATGCAGTATTGGGTAAGATCTGTTGTCTTGTTTGATATTTTCTCTGGAAAAACTCAATTTTTGCCATGGTTCCAGACGTGGCCGATGTTATCTGCAATGGTTTTGTCCGTTCTGTCCTTTTTCATCTGCGCTCTCCTCTACAATGGTTTTGTAACGGCCGATTGGACGTGGACAAGTGTCAAAGATACTCCGGTGCACATCGCTCAACACGCGATGATCGATCCGTTATTTTGGCTGGTAAGTGCAATAACATGCTGAACAATGCTCTTGATTAATTTAATGATTTTCAGGTAGTTCTACTGTCTATTGTGTTATGTCTGGTGCCACGCTTTACGTTGATTGCCATCACAAATACGTTACGACCATCTCGTGTACTGAAACGACGACAACTAGCTAATGCTGTCGACAACAAACCACGCCCATTTACTGCCTTTTCCTGCTGCATACGGGTACTATGCAACGATGAGATACGTGTAAATGTGAGTTCAACTTGCAATCTAGGGTCTGTCAACGACACTCAGTAATGTTTCTCTTCGAAAATCGAACTGTGTTGCTTCTATGCCTTTACTATCGGCCATGGAACATAATTATCTATATCGTGCCGTTTTGAGCCTAGACATGGAGGCTCAACCATTCTATGGCCATTCCTTAAAAGTGTTGGGCGGCGGTCTTTGGGCGGGATAGGGGTTGCATCGTATGTATTGAAATGCACTACTATAGGGTAGATGAATAAGAAAAATTTTTCGACAATTTTGAGGTTTTTAAATGCGTCTGTTCCTCCACCACTACGACACATTAGAGCTGCCAAGGGGGGGGAGAGCCGTCGTTTACACACAATGCAAGTATGCAATGTAGACTCATTCAATGTGGCTCGAGGGGCCAGTCGCCGATAGCGAACACGTACAAGCGGGCATCGAACGATTAGTTCAATATTCCCTGCAGCTGATCAGCTCCTTTCCTTCCCTTAACCTTTATCTGCTATAAATTTCAGGATATCTAGGTGAGGGCATGGGGGATGTTGAAAAGTGAATACCTTCACATTATTCTCGCTTTTTCGCGAGAAAAACAAAAAAGGACCCGCTTTCAATGAATGGAAGAATGCTTCTCCAGCGCGCGCGATCTCTGCGTATGTTTTCTTAAGCCTCGCATTTCCCTCTTTCGAAATCGTTCATGGACCAGGCTCAAAGAGTCGCCGTCGCGAACTGGCGTTTCGTCAACAATATATCGGTGTTTATGGTCAGCTCATGTGTGGGACTGCTCCACTTTCAGGAACTTCAGTGAACCTTTGGAGTCACAAGATCATGGGTTTGTGCGTAATGAATGGTTATTTTCAGAATTCATAGTTTTGAGTAGTTCTCTCTATTTCCCTACTCGGATGAAGAAGTATCATTTCAGGATTAGGTTATGAACTATCACATAACGTCACTGCGATAGAAAACGGGTTTGTTTCCGTTAAATTCCAAGGAATGATTCTTCTATTGCTGCGCACTGAATGTGCGACTACTAAGATCAAAACATCATTGTGTAGGCACGACGAGCGGGTCAGGTTTTTTTTTGGTCTCGATTTTAGCTAATGTACAACAGCCGCTTTGATCGGAATTTCCAGAAAGATGTAAAAGGTTCCACTAGTCGTACCACTTTTGCCGCTCAGCCCGTTTATGATTTCACTTTTTTGTGGTCGCACAGGCACTTACAAAGTCCAAGTATTTTATGCTCTGTCCCTCACTTTAAGATTTTGACTTGTTGTGCGGATCTATAAAGTGTTACGGAATTGCAGCCCTGCATTCGCAAACTTAGTCTACCGTTGCCGCCCAAGTTCGTCATAAGAGGGCCGAGTGTTACAAAATGGTTTGATGCGGGACGCCTCAACGTGGCATATCGGTTTCCTGATGAAGTAATGTCTTGCGGTAACAAGACGAAAAGAATATGATCACGATATTACACCGCTAATAAAGATTTCCATTATTAATTGTTCAGCGGATTACTAAAACTCAGAACTTCCAATAATAATAAACGAAGTATTTAATAGAAGATGCTAATAGATCTAGTGTTGTACCGTCATGCGCCTATAAGGTCAGACATTGTCATTCAAGCGGCACGTAAATACCAGCGTCCTCGCTATGAATATTCAAACTTTAACAGACACCTTGCTTTGCCAATTCACACCACTGGAACAGCGTTCACTAAAGCACATACCCTCAAGCAGGGTCAATCTGAAGCTGAAGTAGCTTGTGGCATGAGAACCAAAAAATATGCACGCACTTTTGAGACAAACGAATGTATTGCATGCATGTCTTCGATGATTTTTTCATTCCTGCAGTAATCTACGGGAACGAAAGAAACGACGTTCGAAAAATTGCCTTAAGGATAAAGGATAAAGGATAAAGCATTTGCCGTTGATCAATCCCTTTTTGGGATGCGGCACGCATTCTACTTCCATTTGTACATTCGCAGTGGCGTTTGAATGCGATGTGGCCTATACAATGACTTGCGGGGGCCAGCCGATTCTACAGTGTAGTGCTTCGAATCAACATCCGAAGACTGAATAGCAGAAAAATCGCTTCGTGCAAATTCGTGATGACATTCGCGACAATTGTATGTAAGTGGACGTCGGCTCGGTGTCATCCTTTCACGAATATTTGCACGAAAGGCCAGTACTCGTGAAAGAAACGCACCTAGCTTCGCCCCGCTGGTTGTGGCAACTCCATGGGTTCGCTCCTAGTCCATCGATCAACAACGATCGAAGACGAAGGCAATTGGTGGCTCGCTGAATTGGAACGGTGGCGAGTGAGCGATACGTAGATCATATGCATGAAGCCATTCTAGAATGTGACGTAACCAGGTTAGTCTTCAAACTTGCAAAAAAAAAGCCCAAATAAGTTTATGCCATTTCTCTGAGTAATCACTTAATCAGGCGAACATTAGAAAAATTAGAAAATTGCAAGAAATCATTGCATAAAAACTACATATCTACTTCAGAGAACTCCTTATTAACACGATGTGCTATCATTATGGCAAAGTGAGCAACATATGACAAGACGATTATATTGAGCAGCCTTCACATATTCGTCGCGACTCGAATCACTTGCATAAAACAGCATGATTTTTAACGCGTACGCAATAGATATCGGCTTCTCATGGAGCGCCATGTGTGGTCCGATGTGTAAAAGCAGCCCGCCTTGAAACAATTCATGGTGAACACTGTAAAGTCGAAAAATTGTTGAGGTGAAGTTAATGATAGTGAATGCAATGAGCCTGTTTTTGAAAAGAATTGGAAATTCATTTTGCATCTAGGTAGGCAGGATACGAACCACTGAAAAATTCTGTACATACGGCAGTTTGTGACGACAACAATAATAACAGAACGAAGGAAAACCTCGGCACGTTCGCCGAAGTGAAAGTGAACGGTTTGAAGCGTTAAGTGAATTGAAAGTATCACATGTATAGAACCGAAAGAAACATAAAAGAGAAATAATTTGACCAGTGAAAATTTAATAGCAAGAGGTTAGGAATAACAGAGGTGAGTAGATGATTCCCAAGTGTGAACAATGAGGACTATGCGAAGCACAGCCCATGCTAGTCAGACGAATGTCGTGAACCGGTGATTTCATCACCGAATTTCTGAAAGCAAGGCTTTAACAATGGATTTTTATGGATCGTGCACAAACTAAAGATTTCGCTGTGTAGACGCCCCCAGATCTTCCATAAGACAGGGATCGTCATAGGGTGAAGATAAAGCTCTGCGCGTGAAAATATTCTGGTGGCAGGCCAGGAAGCGCCCATATTGATAGGTAGACATATACATTTTCAATGTTCTTCCAGAGGTTTCAAGAAGGAAAAGCACAACAACATTCTCTTCATTCCAACTAACGGAACGTATGCCAGACCTTTAATATTAGGTGTTTCAGAAAGTTCTGTCGTTTTCTGACATTCCACTTTTGGATGCTTTATTTCCCTTGAAATCTAGGAAAGCTGCAATTGATGTTGATGTCATTTTGAAGAACTTTTCCAGCTCTATCCAATGCTCAGCACAACTTTATCCTAAAATATTTTCTTATAGCTTTTTCAAAGCTTTGAATTCAGTATACTCGAGGAGCAAGCTGGCATGACTTTCTTTTTCTAGCTTTAAATAGACCTGAAAGTGGCGGGAACAGTTCAAGATATCAACGATGCTTTGGGCCTAGATTTGCAATAAATGTGCTCAGAAGCAGTAGTTAAAAAATTTATTGTAAGGAAGGCGAGAGCCTTGAATATGATGAGAGTAGTGGTCGGACATCGGACGGTGTCTCCGATTAGCCAAAAGTTCTGATTGAAGCACTTGTGCGTAAGACCATAGAGGAGGTTCTGCCCAACGTGGGCGTATATGGTTTGTACAGCCAAGCTATACGGAAGAAGCTGGAAAGTCTAAAAAATTCGATAGTGGCGTGCCGCGACAAATCACCAATTTGAAGCATCGTCCATCAAATTGTCGCTGGTTTTATGTGGTGAAAGCGACTCGTTTCTCTACAGATTTGCGACGTACAATAAAGAGCGGATTCTTCTCTATAGTCTACGAAAGTTTGCTGAATAGATCGACGGCGATGAAGCTCTACAAACTTTGCAGAATTTAAACTGTGCTGGAGGAGGGTTGTGGCAGCTTTCATGGGGCCAGCGGCTGGCCATGTTCTTCAGTATCAGATGGAACTGTTACAGTGGAGAATCAATCTTTATACTAATTCAAAAATCATCAAAAACTCTAGGACATGGGTCCAGCATTCCTCATTATAAAGGAACACACACATCCCTGAAAGGTGTCTTGAACGCACATCGCACGGCCAACCCTTCACAAGTTGTACCAGCTGAACTTCAGAGTGGTTCTGCGAACATCTTACTTAGTAGACCCTTGAACTATCTACTGTCAAACTTCTGACGATCTCGATAGCTTCCTTGAAGAGAAATACATCAAAAACCAACATGATGCTAAAACGACCTTCCCTCAGTTCATCGCCTCCAGAGGTCCAGCATTCCAAATAAACGTACCCTGTTGAACGTTTCTTATAGAACAAGATTCGCGCTTTCAAATGGTTTTTTAATCAACTCGAAAGGTTTAGCCCAAGCCGAGATACGTGCATTTAAAATTAGGGGCTGGAAAACGACAGAACTTTCTGAAACACCTAATATATTATACATTGACGACATTGCGACCCACTACGGGTCGCTTCTTATGTCCGCGTGGGACAACGCGAGCCGCGAGCGGGTCGCGCCCACGTCACACATTTTTGCGCGAATGCAAGACTCCCTTTAAACTATTAGCATTTTCGAA